AGTCACTGTACCCAAAAGAACTAACTAAATTCAACCATTTCAAACGGTAATATATGCTCAAGGAACAATAGTACTGAAGGAAGAAAGAAATCCAATCTGCAGTGAAAATATTGGCCAAAAACAAGTCTCCAGGAATTGATGGAATAAAACGAAATGTTTTAACAAGTTCATGAAGCACTGGAAGCACTCACTCATCTATGCCAGGAAATTTGGAAGACAGCTACTTGGCCAACTGACTGAAAGAGATCCGTATTTGTACTCTTTTCAAAGAAAGGTGACCCAATAGGATGTACAACTGTCCAACATCATCATTAATATCACATGGAAGTGAAATTTTGCTGAAGGTCTTCCAACAATGGCTGTAGCAGTAGATTGACAGGGAGCTGCCAGAGGTTGAGGAGTCAGCAGTGGAGTCAGCAGAGGACATGGAACAAGGGATATCATTACTGCTGTGAAATGGATCTTGGCTAAAAGCAGGGAATACCAGAAAGATGTTTACTTGTGTTTTATTCACCATACAAAAGCCTTAGGCTGTGTGAACTATAACAAACTGTGAAAATCTTGATGGTGCTCATGTGGAAATTGTACATAGATCAAGAGGGAGCGTGAGATCAAAACAAAGGAGTCCTGCATGGTTAGATACTGCACGTTGTGTGCTGCTTACATGAACAGAACATTAAGAATTATGGAAATAATGTAGGTAAAACAATGAATGCTTTACTTCTACAGATACTCCCCCAAACTTGCTCTAGAAATAACTGTTAGAAGTGAAAGGGATGTCTTTTCAAACTTTTCCCAATGGATTCTCATAGATAAGTTTACACGTATACATAGGGCTTCTTTACATTAATGAGACTAAATGATACACACTGTATTTTGTTACAGTTCTCACTTAATTTGTTCTCAGTATCATCTGCCCTAACTAAATAAAGAACTATTGCAGTTTTCAAAAAGTGTCACATAATATCCCACAATATAAATGAATTAAATTCTTCCATTAAAGAAAAAAAAAGAGGACAAGGAGGGAGATTGATTATACTTCATTTCTCTGTTCCTCCTTTCTCTTTTGCTATTAAAACACTGTACTGCAGCGCCGAGAAAGTGTTGGTACATTTATGAGTGTGTATACAGAGCAGATACCCAAGAGCCAGGCTGGACAACACCGAGAGGGGCCCTGCTCACACGCTTGGGAAGTGCTCCCTCAGGGGGAGGCGAACCTGCCGCAGAAGAGGAGGCTGTTGGTTTTGTTGTGTCTGATGAAGAAAAGGAAAGGGCGGTCGGCACAGAACCGAGGCTTGTCCACAAAGCAGCACCCCATCAACATCATGCCTGAAGCAGCAGCGGCCTCCGTGCCCTCCTCAGTAACCTCCACAAAGGACTTATGTACAAACTTGGACAGAAACAGATCTGCTCTCGCCGACATGGCAGAAAAATCAGCCTTGCCCTGATGAAAGACATCCACCACCCCTAACGTCTGGAGCACGGAATCCATGTCATAATTTTCTTCCAGCCTAAACCTTGGAAGGAGGACTTCCACTTCAGTGCTCCTCCTGCACTCAGGCTTGGTCCAAGCTGCAAAGTTCTCAAAAGTGAGATCCTTTTCCACCTGAAAGTCAAAAACGAGACTTTAAAGTTCTTCCTTCAGGACACAGCTGCGCGCGCGCATACACACACACACACACACACACACACACCATCTTATTGAAGAAGGTGCCTGTTGTTCAAACAGGACCTGGCACCTCTCTGCCAGGAAGGTCATCTGACCCAGCATTGGTACTGTATATCATGTGTTTTACATACATGAATCCCTGCGGAGCAGAGGAGACACCGGCAGACAAGTTCTCCAAGATATATATACATATTCCAGAAGAGCATATTTTGTTTTGTTTTAAAACGATGCTTACATTTGATAAAGGAGCCCTGATGGTGGCGTGGTTCCCCACTGTGCTGCTAAGTGCAAGGTCAGCAGTTTGAAGCCACCAGCCGTTGGGGGAAGAAAAGCAGGACTTTCTGTCTCAAGAGTGCCTGTCTTGGAAACTCACAGGACAGTTCTACTCTGTCCTATTGGGTCTCTAGGAGCCAGGATGATCCAGTGGCAGTGGATTTGGTTTTGCTATTTTGAAAACAAACCAATCTGGCTTAAGTTAGAAGGAAATCTGATCAGGGAGAAGAGTCTGCCTGGTTTCTGGTGAAGAGATGTCACAGTTAGAAAGCAGCACGAATGGAGAACGAATGGGCTGTGGACGCAGCCACACCGATTCCATACTGCTTAAAGCATCGCTGTCTTTCATCAGGGTCCTGAGTCTGGAATCTGGTGGGTATGAAGTCTCCCCTCCCAGTCTCCTGATTCACGCTGAAATCAAAAAGGGGGCTTCCATGGCTGTGCCCCGCCCATCCCTGGTTAGGCCAAAGGATAGACAGTTCCTTCAGTATTTCAAGTCCTGAAAAGCAACAGAGATTCTTAGGTTCTAAAACTGTTATGCTAATAACAATGATGGTGATGTTCACAATGGATACTGTCTCTAGAGGGCTTACTATGTGTCCTAAAGTGTGCTTAGCTTGCTCTTTGGATAATCACCATCCTATAATGAGGACATTATCAAGACCTCCATTTTAGAGATAAGCAAACAGTCTGAGACAGTATAATCTTTTGGCAAGGTCACACAGAAAACAATAGAATGCGTTGGGCTTGGGTAAAAGTGTGAGCCCAAAGCCCACGTGTCTGAGCACAGCGCTTCATTGCTGGATCTGGACTCACATTGCCAACTCCGAAGGGAAATACCAACGATGGACGTTATGCTCAGGTTCTATCCTAGGAAGGCAGGTAAGAAGGGTGTCACTGGATAAGAAGCGTAATCTCACCGTCCTCAGATCCACATTGGCATCAGGGAGCAGAATGACCATGCTCAGCTCTTTCCCTACATAGGGCATCTCCAGGATCTGGGCCTGCACTTCTTCGATGTAGGTGATTTTAAAGGTGCCTTCTTGAAACATCATCTGTACTGGTCTTCGCTCCATCTGGTGGGAATGAGCACATGAACACGGCATTAAAAGCAGATGATCAGAAGAGGCAACATCAATTCCTGAAAGAGTTACAGCTGGCCCAGGAATGTTTGCCAGCGTCCACAGCAGAAACAACGCGCCTGCTCTCATTGTTGTCATTGGCTGCTGTCAACTCCATCTCGACTCATGGCAGCCCTGCACATAATGGGATTGGACCGTTGTGACTCGGAGGGTTTTAATGGGCTGATTTGGGGACGTCTATCTCCAGACGTTCCTTCCTAGTCATCATCTGGATGCTCCTCTGAGCCCTCTCTAGTATCACGTGAACAGACACACCTCCCCTGACAGAGGGGTGGTGGCTTTACATGGGGTGCACTGACTGAGAACTGAACCAGGGCCCCCTGCATGAAAGGCAAGAATTCTACCACTGAACCACCACTGCCTCCCCGTGCTCTAACCATAAAGGTCAGCCCACTCCTTCCTGTCATCATAAAAGGGATGGATTATATGCAGACACACCATCAGTTTGGACAAGATGTGTTAGTGAGCAAAACAATATATGACCCTGTGCCTTCTCCAGAGAAGGGCGTGAGATTTCTGTTGGTTTCTTTACTCATTTAAAGCATACCCAGTAAATGTATCTATGCAAGCAATGTGATCAAAATCAATTAAATAGTAATATTCATATTTAATTAGGAATAATGTCGTCATAGTCATCTTTGCTGGTGAAAGTGGGATGAAGCTGACAGATGGCACACACTATGAGAAGGGCACAGAATTGGGAAGCTCTCTATCAGAGCTACATATTTTTTCATGCATTTAAATCCCACTATTGCAATTCTGATACCTGAATCCAGTGAAAGAACAAGGAATAAAGAAAAGCTATATGACTGCACAAGTTAACTGAAATTTTGCATTTATTAAAAAATTTAGAATATCTATTACAAAGTAAAAAATGCTGTCTAAAAACAATGTTGGAAAAGTTACCTTTCTGTACCTAGGGTGATTTGTAACTATAGGAAGCCCTGGTAGCATAGTGGTTATGTGTGTAGCTGCTAACCGAAAGGTCAGCAGTTCAAAACCACTAGCTACTCCTTGGGAGAAAGATGAGGTTTTCTACTCCCGTAAAGAGTTAGTCTCAGAAACCCAGAGGCAGTTTGACCATGTCCTATTAGGGTGCTGTGGGGCAGCATTGGCTAAATGGAAGCGAGAGAGGGTTGGCTGTTCAAAAATTTATATATCTCATATTTATTTATACAAGTATTATATCTTAATATCTTCGTAGGAGCTAGGGTTTTTGGCAAGCAACTCTTAATACCTGCCTCAAATAAAATTATGCTTCATTGTCAAAACCAAGGCTTTTGTCACTCACTTTGAATATTAGAAAGCTATAAATACTGAATTAACAATGATAAAGTACCTACAATGAATTAAATCCATACTTAATAAAGTTTTTAAAATAACTGGTTATAGAAATATGTTTCCACATTCTTGCCTCTTTCCTCCCAAGCCCAAGCCCCACCAAAAACCTTATTTTTGTTTTCTTCCTAACCAATTTGGGATTAAAGGAAAATCTTAAGTTTCCAGAGCTAGGTGGCAGCAATAAAAGGATGAGAATTCACCATAAGGAACAGTAATCAAATGCAAATAAAAAAAAAAAAAAGGATAGATAGCAAATTCTTTTAATTCCTTTAGTTTTAGTTCAATTTTAGTTCAAATTCTACTGAGTTTAAAATTCGTTCAGAAATACCTGAAATATATTTTCTCTAGCAAGGTATTTATACTTTCACAACGTGAATTTTTCCATCAATCCCTTCATCGCAGTGGTAAGATTTTGAAAGCCTCCCTACCTGGTTTATTTTAAAAGGCATGGTCCTTGTGTGAGCTTTATTAAATTCTTCATCCCACCTTCCTTTGAAGTAGATAGCATTAATGAGAACCAGGCTGGTTTGTGGCCCAACAGAGTTTCTTGGCAACAACTCTTGAATTTTACCTTTCAAGAAAAGGAAATGTAGTGGATTTTTAGGAAAGCATGGGCAGTAACTATGGTAAGACATACTGGTACACGCTTGATGCGTAGCCACAAGCCAAACATTCTTTTGTCAGGTTCTCGGAGTTTGGTTTCTTCTGTAAAGAAAGAAAACAATAACACACAAGTGGTCTTCATCATCATCAACACTTGGGCAGCATTCCCAGAGGCGATGAGGTGAAAGACTTTCAGAGCAGAAGAAAGAGGGTAAGAGATGGAGACAAAGGCAAGCAGGATACAGGAAGTAAACCAACAGGGCATTGGCTAGCTCCTGTGGTTAAAGAGGCTGATTAACCCAAATCTTCTACATTGTGTATTTCTGTTGTTACTTTTTTTAAGGTCCGCTCAGGCTCCCACCCACCCTGAGGCAGAGGGGCACCCCCTGGTCGGAAGACCTGAGCCCTGGTCTTGGATGCATGCAGCAGGCAGATAGGTGACACTTCCCCAAAGGGACCCCATGGGAGAAGGCCCAAGCTGGCCTACGTAGGAGAGGGGAAGGGAAAGGGGAAAAGCCAGGATAATCTAATTCTTTTGGATGACATCTAATCTAACAGCCCGCACACACAAGGGCACCTCACAATGGCCAACAGGGAACCAGATAGCAATGGGCCGGAAAGGCATCAGAGGGTCTTCTGTTAGCCTAGAGAAATTACATTACCATCTGAATCACCAAACAAAGCCCAGGAGTGCCTGGGCAAAGTCAAGGGGCCACAAATGAAAGATACTCCCTTCTTCTGGGCATTAACTTGCACCTTTTCAGTCAACTAAGAGAAGCTCTGAAAAATCATTCCCTCAAGAGGGCCCACGTGGAAACTAGTCCAGTGCTTCCTGTGAGAAGAATGGAGAAATAATTGGTAAGTCTTTCAGCAAAGACGCCCTCTTGTTGTCGTCACTGTCTCATTTCCTAGCAGAGATAGGAATGTTTCTCCGGGTACTCAGAAGTGCTGGTACATAGGAGCCTGCATAGTTCCACCATCAGGCCATCACTGACATCACAGACCATCCTCACAGCACATCACTCTGCAACATAAGTGAGTCAGACCTGATCTCAGGGGGGGTTATTTTCAGTGTATGGAATTAATTAGCTTTGTAATCAGAAGGTTTTGTAAGTGGCCTATACACAAAACACAAAGCCAAGTGAGTCCTTCCTTTTTTTTTCAGTGGTCTTCTCAGAATTGGTTTTTCTGATTCTTTTTGCTGTCAAGCTGTGGCAGTTACATATTCTTTTGTCAACTTGAGCAAAGGGGTGGAGTCTAGCCTGTCAATCAGGTCATAGCTAGTGAGGCATCTGGGTGGGCATGGACTTCTCCTAAGGATTCTGGGAACTCTTGTCTTCCTCCCAGGAGTGGGGGATACATACTCTCTGCTGCGGGACATTCCTATGGACAAGCCACATGGAGCTATGCTGATGGAGCCAGACCCCTGGAGCTAGACAAGCCACGTGGAAACCCATGCCAGTGCTGAGATGCTTCCACTGCCACTGGATCCACAAGACTTCCCACCCACTGGCCTGTGATCTTCCTGCATTCGGCATCATTGTATGTGTTGCGTGAGTCTGAAGAGGAATTTATAGATTGGTATGGGACAGATGGGCTAATACCGGACATATGGACTTGATCTGGGATGTGTTGTTAATCTAAAATTACTCTTTGATATAAAGCTCTTTCTTATACACATATGAGTGTCTCTGGATTTGTTTCTCTAGTCAACCCTGACTAACACACAAGCCAATTCTGACCCAGAGTGACCTCTTGTGCTGCCGCGCGAAACTGCACACCGTAGCATTTTCAAGGTTGTGACCTCTCAGAGGAGATCACCAGGTCTTTCTTCCAAGCCAACTCTGAGGGGGTTCAAATCATTAACCTCAAGTGCTTAACTGTTGGAGCCACTCCAGGACTCCAGTTGGTCTAGAACAGTGGTGCTCAACCTTCCTAATGCCGCGACCCTTTAATACAGTCCCTCATGTTGTGGTGACCCCCAACCATAAAATTATTTTCGTTGCTACTTCATAACTATAATTTTGCTACTGTTATGAATCAGGCGATCCCTATGAAGGGGTCGTTCAACCCCCCCAAAGGGGTCACGACCCACAGGTTGAGAACTGCCGGTCTAGAAGTAGAGGTTCATCAGTCTAATTTGGACATTGAATAAGGAAGGCTGAAAGAAAATCAATACATTTGATTTATGGCAATGGTGAAGAATATTGAAAGTACCATGGACTAAAACAAAACAAACAAAAACAAAACCCCCAAACAAACAGATCTAGCTTGAAGAAGTACAGCCAGAATGCTCCTTAGAGGCAAAGATGGCAAGACTTCATCTCACTTTGGACATGTCAGGAGAGACCAGTCCCTGAAGGGAGAGATCGTGTTTAGAAAAGTCGCAGGGGAGTGGAAAAGAGGAAGACCTTCGACAAGATGGACTGCATCAATGGGCTCAACCATAAGAACAATTGTGAGGATGGTGCAAGACTGGGCGGGGTTTCGCCCGCCCGTCCTGTTGCACACAGGGTAGCTGTTAGTCGTAACCGCAACAGTGGCACTTGACAATAATCAAGTCTCATCAAAGGAAGTTACAGGGACAAAGGAAGAGGCTGTGGAATGAGAAAGTATGGAAGAAAGAGAAGGGGCTGACAGTCTACATAGAAGTTAGAAAGAGGAACCCCAGTGCTTACACCACCAAGATGACAGGGTACTGACAGTCGGAGCACCGCATACCAAGCAAAATGCGTTTTCAGTGTAAGTTGTGTAATACAGTCTAGCGGTGAGTTTCTTTTGAGATTTGAACCAGTTACCCTGGTCCTGAGAGAATGGACAAAAGGAAGCCTCCAGGATCCAATCTGAGCCTACGGAAGTCCACCAAAGGTCAAGCATACCAGAAATCCCAGTCAGCCAACATCATCCAAGGAAAACCAGAGGCCCCAGAGGAAGATACGTGGGAAAGAAAGCGTAATTCTGACCGTCAGTCTTTTTTGAGACCCACGAGTTGATGTGTTTCCTGGACTTGTCTGCAGCTGTGGCAAAGGACAGCTGCTCCAGCTTCGCCTGGTAGAACTGAAGGCAGGTTTCCTGAAAGGTCTTTGAAGAGAGAAGTGTTTAATGAGGCTGCACTGCTGAAGACAACAGAACACAGCACGTTTCCCCAAGTTCATAGAGACACCACTTTTCTTTTTTGTTTTCATTTTACTTCCACGGAACTTTATTCTTACGTGAATTATTTTAATCTTGATATATATTAATCATTTTATTGGGGGTAGTCACGACTTTTTGTTAAAAAGAACTAGCATATCTCTTAAAAGTGGTCATGTTTTTGTCTACTGGATGTTAAAATATCAGCATTTCTAGAAATATGATGTATGAGGCACGAATAACCCAAGATAAATAAGTGAGTTATAGAGGTAGTTACTAAGATTTTAAATCATTCAAGGTATAACTATAGAGTCATGATTTATCATTGTTATTGACATAAAAGGGCTCAACTTGTCTAGGATCTTTCTCCTGGATTTCATTGCCACAATGCATTTGAATGCAACATTTGCTGTTTTCCTGATTAAACTTACTGAGAGGATGTCACAAGTCTCGTCTCCAAAGAGCCCGTTGGCTATGCTGAGCCGGTACTGAGTGCCAGGCTTGTTCATGTCAGTGAGAATCAACTGGAAACCTTGATGAAGATCTTTCTCTGCATTTAAAGAAAGTGCCTATTGGGGGAAAAATTTAATCATTAGTATTGTCCTTTGCTTTCCAAGAAAGAACATTTTTTTTCCTTAAATATTCTATGAAACGTTTCTTCAAAGGGAATATTGTTTTTTACTTTAATTGAAGATTTAAAACATACTATAGAAGCATACTGTCAGACAGGCAGAGAGGAAAGCAAACAAGCAGCAAGCAAGGGGGTAAATATTTTTTTCTACCTGAACAGACATTTGTTGTTTAAAGATGAGTCATAGGGGGAAATGGAAGCACTGGGAGTTCAGGGGTTGAGTTCTCACGTTCCATGCGGGAGACCTGGGCGTGGTTTCCAGCTGAACGTACCCTACGCCTAGCCTCCATTAGTTAATGGAGACTTGTGTGTTGCTAACAAGTTTCCCTAGAGCTTCAAGACTAAGATGAAGTAGGAAGAAAGACTTGACACTCTACCACCCCAAACTGACCTACAGAGCACAACAGCCTGACCTGGGGGCTGACTGAATGGCAAATAATGACAACAATCAGGGGAATAAGGGAAAGAGGGGCCCTTATGAAATCCTTCACCCCAAAGAAAACACAGAAGTGCCCTAAACAATCAGGAGAGAACCTAACCTCCAACATTTACCAGGAAAAGAAACAGGGGACAACAACCCAAAAAAGGAAGCAAAGCATTGAAGACAGAGCCCTTCCTTTTTCCTTCCTTCCTTCCTCCTTCATTTCTGTTCCTCTACTTCCCTTCATTCCCCTCACCATCTTTCCTCCTTTCCCCTCCCTTTTCAAAATAGCACATAAGGAAATCGATGCATTAGAGATACAAAGGGAAACGGGCAGGAGTCCACACTTGTCGGAAAATCTTGCGGACATCACTTTCTGTTCCTGTTCTATGAAGCAGCAAAAGGAAATAAGGATCTAAAAGGAGCAATAGGATTCTTATTACTAAACTGTAGTGACTAAAATCGTACCCCAAGGAAAGAATATCTAATTAAAAAAAAACTACTTTGATATTTCTAGACAGGCAGTGAGCCATACGAAAAAATCTTATTATAGCCTGAAATATACAAATACTATACAGGTCATATTCTCTGACCTCAACGTAGAAAATGAAACAGAACAAAAAACCCTCACTGTTAACTGGTTGGCTGTGACTCATAGTGACCTTCATGAGTAAACCAGAACTGCTCCTGTGGGTTTCGGGGGTCCTGAGGCTGTCAAGCTTGACGGGAACAGAGAGTCCTGTCTTTCTCTGGTGAAGCAGTGGATGATGTCAAGCAGGAGGGAACTTTCCTCACTCTCGTTGCGTAGAAATTCGTAATATCGAAAATAAAATACCATGAATGTGGAAATGACCCTCCTACATAACCAATGAAAAGATTTTTCTTTAAAAAAAAAAGTTCTGAGAAAAATTTCTTCTAAATAATTATTTTAAATACTCTCTTAACTAACCATACGACATACCATTTAGCAAACAGTCAAAATAAGAACAGAACGTACCAAACCAATGGGTTTGGCCAGATAAAAGGGCAATCACAGCATTCTTTTTCTTCTTCTTTTTATTGCGATTCAGGAGAAGGTTTGCGGAGCACATCCTCAGTTTCGCATTCAACAATCCGTACATATTTTATTTGAACTCATCCTCCGGGTTCAATTCCTTCAATGTCCCATCACTTATCCCACTTCCTCCTGGTGTTTCCTAATTCTATTCCTTCTCCTTTTCTAATTCCCTGTCCTTGGGTCGTGTTGCCCTTTTGATCTTAAATGGTTAATTATTTAACACCAGGGTGAGTTCAGTGCCAAATTTAGAGGGTGACTAGATTCTATAGTCTTGGGGGTCCCACCAGTTGCTATTTGACCAACAAGTCTGGTCTCTTATGATTTTGAGTTCTGTTCCACTTTCACGACCACCCTTGCCTTACCTCCCACCCCCAACAATCTTATCCAAGACCTTCCAATGTGATCCTTTCCAGAGTAGTTGGTAGTGGTAGCTGGGCACCATCTACTTCTGATCTTAGGGGTGTGGAGACGGATGTTTGTCTGGTTCATTAGTCCATTGGATTATTTCCATGTGTTCATCAATTTTCATCATTCTTCTTTTGGACATGGAGAAACCAATATTTGCACCGGAGATGGCTGCTCACAAGCTTTTAAGATCTCAGTTGCTACTCATTAAAGTAGGATGTGTTTGTGAACTCTTTTATGCCAATTGACATTTTCTTTTTTTTAAAAAAAACATTTTATTAGGGGCTCATACAACTCTTATCACAATCCATACACATATCAATTGTGTAAAGTGCACTTGTACTTCATTCTCAAAACATTTTCTCTCCACTTAAACCCCTGACATTAGGTCCTCATTTTTCCCCTCCCTCCCTGCTCCCCCCACCCCCATGAGCCCTTGATAGTTTATAAATTGTTATTTTGTCATATCTTGCCCTGTCCGACATCTCCTCTCACCCACTTTTCTGTTGTCCGTCCCCCAGGGAGGTCACATATAGTCCCTTGTAATCGGTTCCCTCCTTCCTACCCACTCTCCCTCCACCCTCCCTGTTTCGCCACTCACACCACTGGTCCTGTAGGGCTCATCTGCCCTGGAGCCAATTGACATTTTCATCTCTCCAAACCAGTCACTCATTTCCTCAGGATGTTTGGTTATGACTATGAAGTTTTCATAGCTTTGCCTCCTGTATGCTTTACCACATTCAAGGATATATTTGCAGCAAAAGTAAATACACATATAACAATAACTTCTGTCCAACCTATATATATGTATAGGTATACTCCCACATTGGTTCAGCCTGCCTATATATCAAAGCGTCTACTATTAGATTGTTACTCTTTCAGGATTATATATGTAACTCTTTTGTCTTTAACTCCTGTAAGCCTTTCTGTGTCATCCTCTGCTTCCATCATTTTTTTCCTACCTCCCTCTTAATGTGCATTGTCTCCCCATTCACCCAAGTTAACACTCATCTATTCTCTAGCCCATGACTCCCCCTCCCTCCACTGGTAGTCATCAAGAATGTTTTAGTGTGAGAAAGCTTTTGTCACTTTTTAGAACAGCAGTCCCCTACAACGTCTATCCTTTTGCGATTGCTTATTTTCCTTAGCGTAACTTCGTCCAGATCCATCCATGTTATGGGGTGTATCCCAGATTCATCATTATTCTGTGATATTGCATAGGATCCCATTTTGTGTAGGTTCCAAATTTTATCCGTTCTTCCAGTGATGGACATTTCGGTAGTTTCCATCTTTTTGTTGAGAGGATCTGTGCTGTGATGCACATGGGTGTGACTATATCTACTCGTGTCACAGCTCTCGTTTCTCTAGAGGATAGACCCAGGACAAGGGTTGCTGAGTCACGCCTATTTCTATTTCCAGTTTCTTGAGGAGGCAGCCGTGTAGCTTCCCATGGTGGCGGCACCATTGGACTGTCGCACCAACAATGTATGAAGGTTCCAGTCTCTCCACACCCTCAGCAGGTAGTTGTTGTTTCCTATTTTTCTGATGATCTTTGCTATTAATGCTGGGGTGAGGTAACATGGCATGGGTGCATTGATTTCCTTATCTTTAATGGCTAATGAGCACAGGCATGTCTTCATAGGGTTGGTGGCCATTTGACCATCTGTTCCTGTCTTCTGCCCACTTTCACACTGGATGATTTATTCTCTGGTTGAGGTATTGGGATGATCTATACATTTTAAGGATCATTCCCTTGTCTAATATGTCTGCAGATTCTGTTTCCTCATTGGGTGAGTTATCTGTGTCTTAGGAATCTGTTCTGTCTTCCACTCTGTGTTTGTAATTGTGTTTGATAGTGTATGTAGGTCAGGGATGAGGACCTCAAAGTTTGTCCTGAATTTTTTCATTCATGGTCTTTATCGTGCTAGGTTTTATATTCAGGCATTTGACCCATCTTGAGTTTGTTTTTGTATGTAGTATGAAATATTGGTCCTGTTTCATTCTTCTGTAAATGGATATCCAGTTTTGCCAGCACCATTTTAAAATAAACTATTTCTTCCTCACTTAATGTATTTTAGTCCTTTGCCAGCTATCAGCTGTCTGTAAGTGGACGGATTTATTTCTGGGTTCTCAATTCTGTTCCACTGGCCTATGTATCTAACCCTGTTTCAGTAGCGGGCAGTTTTAACTACTGTGGCTGTGTAAGTAGGTTTTGAGGTTCAGAAGTGAATGGCCCCCACTTTGTTCTTCTTTAGTAGTGATTTGCCTATCTGGGTCTCTTTCCTTTCCATATTAAGTTAGTAATTAGTCTTTTCCTCTCCTTGAAAAATGATAGTATTGGAATCTGGATTGAGATTGCATTATCATTATAAGATCGCTTTGAATATTATTGGCATTTTCACAATCTTAAGTCTTACTATCCATGAGCACGATATATGCTAGCATTTATGTAAGTCTCTCTTTGTTTCTTGTACTAGGGTTTTGTAGTTTTCTTTGCACAAGCCTTTTGTTTTTCTGGTTGGATTTGTTCCTAAGATTTCACCATTTGGGTAAATAATATCCTTTTTCTGATTTCCGTTTCAGAGGTTTATTTCTTAGCATAAAGGAAACAAACTTATTTTTTTTTTTATGTTGACCTTATACCTTACCATTCCACTTGCCATTCCAGTCCATTATTCTCTGTCTCTTGACTGGTGCATTTACTTCATTTAAAGTCAGAGTAATAGTGAGAGGGTATGACTATATTGCACTCGCATGGCTGAGTGCTTTTTTGGGGGTGCTATTGGCTATCAGTGATTTTATCAATTTTAAAAACTATTCAAGAAATCTGTTATTCTCACACAATACTCACTTTCTATAGCATGACACAGGATAGAATGCTACCAAAATCATCTTATAAAGCTCATACATAAGAAAGCCTGTCAAACAGGGAAAAAGAATGAGGTAAAATCAGTTCCCTTCAGTCATACACCGTCGCCACGAAGAGCTACGACGTCCTGAGAGCCTGCTATATGGAAAGCTTTATACAGATGTCCTCACTGACGTGAAAGGCTGTGTGTAAAAGGAAAGAAACAGTTTGATCACTAAGACAAAATTTAAAACAGAGATGGGGGAAAGGACTAGAAGACATGTTTCCATATTATCAAAAGTAGATGGTTATCTCTGAACTGGATTTGTAGTAATATTTTTTCTTCCCTTCTACCTTCAATTTAAAAATTTTTATAATGGGAGTTTACCACTTATATAATGAAGGAAAGATAAATTTTTAAAGCTTCACTTCATGTGATTAATCGTAGCATGTAGCTAGCTTATTGGCTGCCCTGTTATTAGTTAAACAGAAGACATATGGAACTTGCGTGTCACACCTCACAGTGACAATCCTGGTGCCATCAATGAAACTACCTATATAGGCTTATCAAAGAGATCTGGTGGTGTAGTGGGTTAAGGGTTGGGTGCTAACCACAGGTTGGCAGTTCAAACTCACCAGCTACTGAATAGGAGAAAAATTAGGTCTTTGGTTAGGATTGCAATGAGGTAAAATAGATTAAATGGCAGGGGGTTTGGTTTTGGTTTGGGGTATCAAGCAATATTGTAGCTACAAAGTCTTTTTTTCCCCAAAAGAGAAAGATCTACGTAGCTTAAGTTGAAAACAATGATAACATCCTTTTCTAAACAAGGATAGAGCACTAGTAAAAAGTGTTGATAGTGTTCTCCTGGCTTTGAGAGAACTTTTCCTGGAATATCTTGTTAAGGAAGCTTTCTTCCTTCCCCTCCTCGCTTCCCTCCCAAGTCTGTAATGAACACCCCCACATTCTCACATGCCAAAGGATCTGAATGCCCAGGCCTCCCACATCAACACTTCTGGGCAGACAGTTACAGAGCTGGATGATACGACAGAAAACAAGGAAAATCAGCAAGGCCAGCTCTTTTCCTGCGACAGTCACTTCTACCTGGGCTATCTGGGCAGCTGTGTCTCCTTTTGTCCCCAGGAAGACCATGGCCAGCGCCGAAGAAATGCTCAAGGGAGAAAAGAACACGTTGCCTGAAGGGTTTGCTTGACATAGTAGTTTTAAAAGACTGATGGCAAAGGTGCCATTTGCTTCACTGAGTGTGTCCATGCTGTAGTTCTGGAATGAGAGAATAAAGAAAATATTATTTCAAACACTTCTCAAGAATGTTGACCACATACTTGACAATTTTGAAACTGTGCTCTTTTCTCTCTGTCCTTCTTTAGTTCCTAAATACTTAAGTTGGAGGAAAATCCATTTAATGTTGCTCTCTACCCATAGAATCTATCCAAAGTCCAAGATAATTAGTTAAGTGTGCAGTGGCAACAGTAATGAGGATACAGTAATGCATTTATATATACACACAGCATACTGAAAGGGAAAGTTGCAGGAAGCAGGGAACTCGAGGCCTTTCTCATAAGAGGCCAGTTCCTCCCACCTCAGGAGGAAGGTGTGGGTAGGGAGGGGAGAAAAGTGAGAAGGGGAAACAGAGTGATTAATGTCTTGGTTCTCAAGCCTGGACTTGGAAACACTATGCTTGCCCCTGGCATCGATGAAGCATGCTTTCTGCGTTTTCAGTTGCCCACCAGCCTGTGACCTTTATCAGCTACATCAAAAAAAGGATAGCTGCCACAGTGGCAGGTGGAGATGTGCTCCAGCCAGCAAGGCTGGAGAGTCGGCCCTGGGGACTAGCTGAGCAGAATCCAGCCGCTTTTCCATGAACTGAGCTTCTTCCCAGCATCAGCCCAGCTGCATGCCCAGCCCACAGGCTCCGCTCTCCCCACCACTACTTCCAGCTGTCATTGGCCTTGGAACATGGGAAGAGACACTGAGGCAACTGAGTGGGTTTTTGATTTGTTCTTCAATTTTGGTGCAAACCCAGGCAGGGATTTGAGAGTTTGAGCAACGCAGTCTCAAAAAACACCACCAGCCTAGTTTGTGCAAGGGAGAAAGAAAACCGATTCATGTAAACGCCAGCGTATGGAGCTGAGGATACGTGGAGAAGTGCCCAGGGAAGAAGAGTCAGAGAGGAAGAAGGAAAGCCAGTGAGACCAGAAGACGTGAGACAAGTAAAACTCCACGTCCGCTGAAATTGCCCTTGTCTTTGGGATTGGGACCTTTGGTGAGCCTGACGCTCACCGCAGGACCTGGGGAGGGTGTGCTCCAACTCAGTCTCTCTTCTCCCTCCTCTGCAACACCAAGCACAGCACGTGCATGCCACCCCTCAGCCTCTCCGGAATCTGTCTGCTTTCCGGGTCTTCTCTCCAGTCCAGACTTGCGTCTGCCTCCTTTCTGCAGCTCTTCCCAGCTGGGTTGCTAAAAATGAAAGTCTGTTACTCTCGTCCACCTGCCCACATTCCCAGGGTCTTTGGGCTACTGCTCATACCCTATGTCTGTGCCCAAAGCTCACCAGACTATGTTCCGCCTGCCTCAGCCTGGCTCCAGGACCTCCATCCGTTCCCTCAACGCATCTCGGAGGCCCTGCAAATGCTCTACCCAATTTAAAGTGTCCTTGACCAGCCCTATTCCAGAGGCTGGTCCCTCGTGGGACCAGTCTCTCCATCCTTGAGAGCCAGGAGCCTGCGGGAGGTACTTCCTCCAAACAGATGTTTGTTCTTCTGGCACGCCGGGAGACTTGCAGTTCACCGAAATGCATCAATTCTTCTCTGTTGTCCAGTTATTATGCGACAGTAATTTAAATGACGGTTTCCCAGATGTTTGGGCAGAGCAATTTCAGTGTTTGCCAGGGGCGCTATTTTCTTAAACACCCTCTGCCCGCATCCCATCCCATCCCGGGATGGTAACTACTTGAGACCTACCTGAGTCCTTGTGCACCGCGTCGTCTCCCGGACCGCCCGTCGAGCCACCACCGAAATCGAAATGCGTGTTCTGGGCGGGCGACAGGAACCGAAAGAGCCCGAGTCCCCGGCCCCGCCCCGCCCGCAGGCCCCGGACTGGCCGCCCTCCCCGCGGCGCTGGTGGGCGGGGCGAGACCCTGCGGAGCCCGAGCCCAGCGGAAGACCCCGCCCCGCGTCGCCCCTCCACCTCCCGCCCTGTGGTCCCGCGGGGGGGTGCATCTGGCGAACCCCAAGCTAGGCTGGGCAGTAGCTCGGGGTTCGGGGGTACTTTAGGTCCGCATGCACCCCACGTCCTACATCGCTGAGGGACGCGGCTGGAGCTTTAAGCGTCTGCTCCTGGAGCGGCCTGGAAGCCAGTGTAGCGCCTGGCGGGCCAGTCCCCATGTATATCTATGGGAGACTAGAAAAAAAAAATTATATATATATATAATTTTTATATAATTCAATATAATATATATATATTTTTTTAATCTCCCACTGCCCCTGCTGCTTTGGGAACAGCCTTGTCTTCGGTGCAAGTCGGAGACACCCCACGTCTGCGGGCCTGGGACTCCAGTCTCATCCTGCATCATGGTCCAGGTGGTTGCTTCTAAACATTTGCTTTCTATTTGAGCCCTTGGTATCAGTTCCTCCTTTTATTCTTCCTCCCCACCTTGTGATCCCTTGATAATAAAAATTATTATTATTTTCATATCTTACACCGACGGCTATCTCCCTTCTCCCGTGGTTTCTGTTGTTCCTCCCCCACTTATTAATTAAACAAACCTGTAGGTAGGCTATGTAGCAAAAACTATTCAGTTGCTGGGGTTTCGGGAACCCCCAAACTAAGAAATGTGCATGTGCTCTTAATCTTGAGGAGACTGGGAGAGGTTCAGTAGTTTGTTCCAGGTTCCTTTTGCTGAAGTATCTCTAATAACTTATAAATAATATTCTATGAATAAAGACTGTCAGTCTCTGGAATAAGAACTGTGGTTATCTCACCAGGTCCTATGAAAGCAGCCCGACAGATTCCAGCAAATCTGGAAGGTTTGTATGGGGCAGTCTGACCTAAAATGGGGTTACAGAAAAAAAATTATTTTTCATCAGGAGGATTCCAAAGGCATAGACTATTTTCCACTAAAATGGATGATGCAGGGCTAGGGCATTTCCAAGAGGCACTGGGCATAAATACCACACGTGTGGCTGTGGGAAAACTGATTCTTTCATGCGGTCACTTTTGTTGGTTCTTCGGAAAAACAAGTGATAGATTTTCCTCCCAAACCATGAGAGATTAACCACCTACATTTGCCCTGATTTTCCACTTTGCTTGAAGTTAATTGACATTTTCTTGGGCAATCTGTAAATAACCTGTGGTTTGATATTTTTTGGTCTGGTCATGGGTTGCAGCCTAAGGAGTGCCAAAGGCACCAGAAGTCAGGTAGGCATTGGACTGCAAACTCCAAGGTCAGCAGTTCAAATCCTCCAGCTGCTCCTTAGGAGATATATGAAGCTATGTGCTCCTGTAAAGATCTAAACATTGGAAACCCTATATAGGGTCACTGTTAGTGGGAACTGACTGGATTAGGGTGCAAGGGTATGGGACCTCTGCAGCCTGCCTTGTGATTGATAAGTACCTTATAGGGATTGATCCATAGACTATGCAAATTAGATGGCTTTAGCGTCCTATGCAAATCAACCGTCAATTTGTGGTGCGTGGTAGCTAAATAATCTCAACTTGATACATAGAATAAAAGGGTGGAGTCTAGCTGGTCAATCAGGTCATAGCCTGATGGTACCTCCTGTGGGTGTGACCTTCTCATAAGGAGGGTCCTGGGAACCTCCCCCCACCCCTTCCCTGCTTCACCTTCCTGTTGACCAGCCTCTTCCAGCCACTCTGATGGCAGCCAGAGCTCTGGAAATGCGTCCATCGCCATTGGATCTACAAGACTTTGTATCCAACACAAGACTTTGCGCCCACCGACCTGCGATCTTCCTGAATTCTGCATCATTGAATGTAGCTGTGTGAGTCTAAAGAGGGATTTATGGACGAGTATCAGACTTGTGGACTTGATCTGGACTGGGCTGGGATGTTTGCATGATATACAATTACTTCTTGATATAAAGCTCTCTCTTACACATCAGATATGAGTGTCCCTGCATTTGTTTCTCTAGTCAACCTAGTCTAACACATGGTCCCTGCAAGGAGAGCTTATATCTTGAACTTGATAAGATGATATATAGCTAGCTAGCTGGCTAATTAGTTTACATTTGCAAGAAGAGAAGCAGAAAGGGGGAAAAAAAGAATCAGAGAAAGGGGCATCAAGAACCTCCTAAAAGAGCTGTACCATAGTCGGGGCTGTAAGACTGAAGATCTAGATCAATGTTAGAAATTGAAAAGGAAAAAAAATGAGGGCAAGAGAAGGCAAAGGGAAGCTGATTGTTATCCTCTAAATTAAACTCCTGACCCGCTTTTTTCAAGGTTGATTTGCAGGAAAGTAACTGTTGGCTTTGACCTTGCTAGATCCATTTATTTCTGGCCTGCATAGTCAGACCTGGCCGCATCCTGAAGGTCACTTTGACATAGCCCCTAATGAACATGCTAAGGATGCCATCTTTTGCACATGGAACATATGAACCCCAATCCATCCCCAAATACATGAATAAAATATGTAGAATTTCCTGTATTCTCCACCTTTAAAAAGAAAAAAACTCCAGCTATTCAAAGAGACAGATCTCCTGGCTCCT